ACCACCCGGCTCTCTTAAAAGGTTGACACACACACACAGAGACCCACGCACTGCCTCAACTTACTCGGAGTCACAGACAGAGACTCATACACACACAGACATTGATACACACACACAGAGACCCACACACTGCCTCAACTCACTCGACTTAACACTTCACACTGAACACTTAACTCACACTCTGACTTCCTACGTGATGAAAAATGCGTTCGGGCCACTCGTCGTCTAGTTTTTGGTTCGTTCTTTGAAGCGACCAAAAACACACTTGTTGGGACCCATGTGGCCCATGATTTTCGTTTTCTTCCCCCAAACCTTTGTCGTTCTGAATGCTGTTTGCTTTGGATTCACCCTCTTAGGAACAAGACAGCTACTAGTAACAAGTGCATCGCTACTAGTAACAAGTGCCTTACTAGTAGTAACAGTAAGCTATTAGAAACAATTGTCGTTTACCTCGTTTTCCGCGTGGGTCCGTCCAGGTGCATCGGCTCTTCGCGGTGGGATCCGTGGAGGAGGAGCTCTACGCCAGGCGCGTGGTTTCCACGGCGTTTCCACGAAAGGCCTCAAATCAGCGCTGTACCTTTGTGGTTGAGCAGCTGGAGATCGTGTTTACTCATTTTTTTTGGGAAAAAACATATTTGTTGGAGGCAGCGCCTGATGCATCTGAAAGGATTCATTTGCCACATTTGGCTTTGGCAGGGTGACACGCGCAAATTTCACATGGAGATTTGATGAATCTGAGAATCTTGAAGCATCTCATCTATCAGATATATGATATGATATGTTATTTACTACCTTTTGCATGAATTATTATGATTATGCATCAGCTCCTGAGGATACAAAGTGTACCTACTTGATGTGCCATGCAGATCATCAATTGCCTAGCTCAAGTTTTGGGTCTCAGGACGTGCCGTGCCATGGCAGCCATGCACTGGCTTTGGCTTATTTTCTTGAGTCTGCTTTTAAGCTCCTTTGTGAGCAAGGCAAGCGACGAGGTCGACCCGAACGATGAGGATGAGGATGAGGATGACTTCCCTGAGTCCGTCCATGCATTGACCGAAAGCACCTTCGATAGCTTCCTCAAGGACAAAAGAGTCTTGGTGTCCGAGCTGAAGTCTTCAACTTTTCAGCAAAGTTTGTGATTTTAAAGAACCAGGGAGTCGCTTCTTTCGACCCACGCAACTCCCAATACACCTGTGTAATTCTGAAAACACCTCTCGTTCGCCCGGCCAGTGTGAACACTACAGGTGGAATTCTATGCGCCTTGGTGTGGACACTGTCAGAAGCTGGAGCCTGAGTACAACCAGGCGGCCGATACGCTCCGCATGGAAGGGGCGAAGACGGAACTGGCCAAGGTCGATGCCACAGCTGAGACAGCCTTAGCAGAGAAGTATCAGGCCGTTTCCAACGGGAGGGCGCCGGACATTGGAAATCCACCGAATCCTGAATCCTTAAGAGGTGGAACACCCCCTCTCCTTGTGTTTTGTTTGGGATCCCTAGCTTGCAGTGCCAGGCAAGACGTCCGGACGGGAACTTTTGCAACGTTTGTTGTGCCCTACCCTGCCCGGAGTTGCAGGGTTGTCGCACAAGCACAAACATTGCTCCCCTAGATTGTGAAGGGAAGATTGAACCTCCACTCCAATCTGACATGGCTTCTGCCGAAAACGGCTTCGCCAGGTTCCGTGGCGTCCCGGTCGCGCGGGCGGAACCTCCGGCAGGTGAAGTCCTATCCGACGCTGAAGTACTTCGTGAATGGCGGCGAGCCTGTGGACTACGAGGGTGGCCGAGATGCCTCGAGCATCGCGGAGTGGCTGCGGAAGCGGGAGAAGCCTGCGGTTGAAGAGCTCAGTGACAGCCAGGTGCGGCAGCTTGAAGCGGAAGCTGATGGGGTGCTGTTGTTAAATGTAGAATGTAGCCAGTCAGATAGTTAGTTGGTTGGTTGGTTGATTAGTTGGTTAGTTAGCTAGTTGTTTAGTCACTTAGTGAGTTAGTTCAAGTTCTTTTTTGTTTGCGGCTCTCTGTTCTATTTGGATTGGACACTTGCTTGAGAGGATCCCCGATTTGTTCTCCCAAGAGCTAGGCTTCAGCCGCTCCCGATTTGATCTCTTCTCCTTCCGTCCCCAGAGAGGTGGACGACTTCATCGAGAAGAGCCTCAAGAGTGGCGCCTTTGCCGTGGTGGCTCACGTGAAGAAGAAGTCGGCACGTGCGAAGGCCCTCTACAAGGCCGCCGAGGCCCTGGTGGACTACAAGGCTGGAGTTCTTTGTTTCTGGTTGGTAGGAGGCCATCGCTATTAGATAGGAGGTACGAAGAAGTGACTTCGAAGAACTTCAGATCTCGGAAGAGTGCACACTCTGAAGACTTCTGTCTGAAGACTGTCCCAAAAGGCAAGCCATCAACGGGTCAGATGGGTCCACCGCCTCTTTTCTGCCGCTCATTGAGTGGCTCTGTTCGCTGCTTCGCATCTCCCTGAGGCTTCGAAGCTGCGCTTGGCCGCTGTCTGGCTCCCGAAGACGGCCGACCCCAAGAAAGACGCGACGATGGCCATGTCCCGCCCGGAGATGGAACCCCAAAAGCTGGACTTCACAGGTGTGCAGTGCCAAAAAACATCGGAAGACCTCCCGTTTGACCGGGCCAGCGCGGGATTTCGGATCTGATTCTTTTTTCTCTCTCCTTCAATACATGGCCCAGGTGAATGTGCTGTGTTTGAACCACAGTGTATTAGGCTCATTGGTCAAAGTGAATTGGAAAGGAACATGAGAGGATCTCAGATTCAGGAGCCTTGTGCAATGTTTCTGTGGATCGTTTATATAGAGGGAGTTGAAGGTTCGACTCATACTGCCATGGTTGGGAATCTCACACTGCCACCCGCAGGAACTTGGACCGACGGTGCCATTCGCAAGTGGGTCAAGCAGAGCACCTACGCACTGGTGGGGAGTGGCTTCAAGGTGGAGAAGTATGGCACAGAGGCCAGTGAGCCCGGTGAATCAACACGGGTAGAAGGATCACATGAAATGCACAGACTTTGCCCTGCAGACCCATGACCAACGTGAGACCTTCGAAAAAAGAACCACGGGATACCATGGGTCATTTTCGTCATTTTCGGAGAACAAGAGAGGCTTCCATTCCATTTTTCCACTTGTCCATGGTAGTTTGTGAGTCTTGTAAGTCCTTTTGGAGATAAATCATGATAGATCCCATGTTAAGTCTTGCGTGCCCGGCCTGCCCCTCTGCGAGGCCTTGGAGGCAGTAGGCGCTAAGGGCTCTGTGGTGGGCATCTACAGCGAGGAGGATGCGACCAAGGTCAAGGAACTGCTGACGAAGACAGCGAGCAAAGAGTCCCAGTGGCGCTTCACGGCGCTGGCGCGCGGCGCGGTGGAAGATCAGGACGTCTTGGGAGTGCGGGGGGACTCCAGCATGATCTCGGTGCTGCATGGGGACAAGAAATACGTGTTGCGGGAGAACCTCAGTGCCGAAGCCGTGGAAAAGCTGCTGGGCGAGATCTTGGCCAAGAAGGCAAGACCCTACTACAAGAGCGCGACACGGACAGAGGAGTTGGAAGATGGTGTGACCGTGTTAACTGGCGACACCTTTGAAGAGGTTGTGATGAATTCCAAGAAGGATGTCTTTGTGGAATTCTACGCCCCATGGTGCGGACATTGCAAAAAGCTCGCCCCGGTTTGGTCAGACTTAGCCAAGAAGGCAGAGAAGGAGGGCTTTGCGAAGAAGGGCGTGGTGATTGCCAAGATGGATGTCACGGAAAATGAATGTGAGGAGCAGATCAGTGGTTATCCCACCTTGGTGCTCTACCCCGCTGTGAAGAAGGAGAAGAAGATGCGACAGAAGTTGATCTACTCGGGCGCGAGAGACTTTGATCCACTCATGGACTTCCTGGTGGAGAACTCTGTGAACTTGGAGGGTGTGGAGATGGCGGGATCCGTGGGGAAGCAAGCCTCACTGGTAGAGAGGGAGAGGGCCAGGGCCAAGAAGGCCAAAAAGGAGCTTTAGAACGCGCTCTTTGATGCCGAGCTCCGCAAGTGGAGTGGAGATCGGAAGACTGCGAGCTTGAGGAGTTCCTCCAAAGACTGCGAGCTTGAGCTCGGAAGAAACAGCCGAAGAAACAGCTGGAGGGAAGCCTTGGGGCTGGTAGAAAATGCATTGCCCTGATTTGCCTATTTGCAGATGAAGGCCATGAATACCAGACTAAATTCTTGAGGCCTCCAGGACCTCAGGAGTTACTAACATCTCTTGCCCCTGATGCATAGCACAGACATGACCATCAGCTGCTGTCATCCGATGTCTTTTGAGCAGGTGAGATGCCAGTGGCTGCAGCGGATGTTGTCTCGAGCTCAGAAGTTGGCGTCTAACATTTGGCTTTGCATATTTGTAGGTTCACCCGAATTTGTGATACCTAACCCAGCCTGTTTGCCTATCTCCTGTACTGGTACCATGTACTCAGGTGCTCGGGGAATGGGTAGAACCCAAGGATGACTGGTGCTGAGAGGAAACGAGCTGGGATGGCCGGATCGTCCTTTGTAGCTCGTTCCGTCATCTTTTCCAGATCCCAGAATGTAGCCTGGTCCAGGTCAAGTTTTTAAACAGCCTGGACTTTCCAGTCTGCGATGTGCATAGCTCGAATTATGCAATGCCCTGAGCCTGAAGCTGGGGATTCGAATCCGCGGATTCGAACGTCCTTCAGCTTTGAATTTGCAGGAAGGGCCTTTTAATGCAACCATGACAGGTCACATGGCCATGGGATTCTTGAAAGCTGGGGAACTACCAAGGAGTCAGAAGTGGAGACTAGACCCTAGACACTGCATACTCATATAGGCAAATCATATATATATATAATGGAAAACCACCTCATGCGCTTTGCGTTGTAATTTGGATCAATGCAGTCCAATGAGATTTGGGCACTGAAGACGCCTATGGCATGGTCACGGGATTGCAGGCTTGTCCATTTTCCGCAGCCTGTGTGCATGGTGAGCTCCATCAAAAGACCAGTGGCCGGCCAAAAGGAAGCATAATGATTATGGTGAACACATTCATTACATAATCGTGAATGTAGGAAGGACGGGAAGGCACTTGGGTACAGGTGGCTTTGGCATCTCTGTCAGTGGGCGCCATCCTCCTCAAGGCCAGGACAAAGTGCCTGTCCGCCAGCTTTGCTCGGTTTCTTGGAGGGAGGAGAACTACTTCTGTACACTCCCAAAATCCATGCTTTGAAGCCCTCCTTCCTTTATGACCATCGCAGAACAGGTGAGGGCAGGACAGGCCAACGCTTCGCACCCTCCTGTGGAGTGTTTGTTGTTTCCTTTGTTCGACCAACCCTCGCACCTGTGACTTTGAAGTCCATGAAGTCCGTGACTCAACGGAAGCAATCCATCAAGCTGTCCATCAAGTTGCAAGAACCTCAACCTCTCGGCCCAGTAAGACACCCGCTGTGGCCAAACTGTTTCTCACTTTCCAGCTGGTGGCCTGGGAAGGATATGAGTTTTTCAACAACAACACCACTAGTTTTCGCCCACACATCTCGTTCGTAGCGATGCACATCCCCCCATCGCTTAGCGATCCCTTGGGCCGCCCTCGCCACCGATGTGGCGACCACGTTCCCTCGCGCCCTTCCCGGTGCCACGGCATCGATGTTTCGCGGACGCTTTACGGCCCTTGTTGTCTGGACGCCCAGCGGGAAGCTGCGGCAGCGGGCCGCGCAGGGGGTTGATATCTATGGAAAAACGTGTGGGAAGGCAGCGAGTCCTGCTTGGCAAGGACCAGAAGGACCAGAATGTGAATTCGTTCGTTTTGAGGGTGCTTCTCAAAGTAGGGATGTCGAATGTTTCAGGGACTCCCGGTTGGAATGGGTTTAGGTTTGGGGTGGGCAATCAGCAAACGAGGCTCCAGTGGAACATATTTGCTTGCAGGATGATGCAGTCGTGTAACCAGCAAGGACTGATTTCCAGCACCATCAAGGTTCAATCCCAGTCCTACAGTAGTGGTGAAAGCATGTTTTGGATGAGTGAACCGCTGATTCGATCAAGGACAACACAACCGAGTCTCCCAAATCCTACTAAACTTTGATTGTTTTGGGTTGGCTTCATGATGACCCACCAGCCATATCTGTGAATCGAGCTGAGCGTACGCAAGGCTTGTTTTGGACTTAGACGAGACCCTGGTGTGGCGCTCAGAAAGCGGAGACTGTTGTGGGAACGTCCGTGTCGCTTGGCCAACATGTAGGACTCCGAGGATTTAGATTTCCACTTTGGAAGTGAGGAAACCTCAGGTCATGTCAGGTCCATGTCTGGTGCAACAGACCCTCTTCAGGGTCAAGACTTCATCTCGGTCTGACTGGTCAGGTGCGAGTTTGCTGCAAGGGCGTGCACCACAACCGGAACTTGCGTGTGGGTGCGAAAACAAACGGCGGCAGTGAAAGAGCAAACAGACGGACTGGTCAACCTCGTCCCTCGTCTCTGAGTAGGGAGGGCTCCCACGCAAGTGGTTTTGCTCTATTTTCCTTCTTAGGCTTTGGGAGGTCTCCCTATTCTAAGGAGCAAAACCCCAAATGATCCCAAATGTTGTTCTTCAAGACCGACTTCCAAAATTCCAACTGTGGTCGTGTGGATGAGAACCACCGTCGATTCCACACCTGTCCAACCTGGGTGGCTCGCCTAAAGCATCCTCAGCCTTCAAGCATCACGTCCTTCGTTTGGATCTGGTGAGCGAACAGAGTGGGTTCTGCATGGTTTTTCTTTCGAACCACCCAAACCACCCGAATCGGAGAGTTCTGCCGTCCGTGGAGCGCCTGAGCTGGAAGTTGGTGTTTGAGACGTGCTTGAATTCAAAGGATTTGCTGGGCATGTTTTCAAACATGTCAAACGTGCATTTTTCAACACTGCAAACCCCCAAATCCAGTACGTCTCGGTCACTTCGCTGCTTTTGGCCTCGCTTTGGGCCGACACTGCTTGCCTCGACCGACACTGCTTGCCAGTGGACTTCCGAGTGCCCATTGACGTTGGAACTCTGCCCAGAGCCACCACGCCAGCTGCTCAAGGGAACCGGAGAGGGAACTGGATCAATTCGACCCCTTCCGAAGGAGTTGTAGGTTGTTGGTAGGTTGTTGTTCCACGCAGCCAGTGCATGGTGCGTATGTTGCCAGGCATGCCAGGGACGTCTTCAGGAACTACAGTTTCCTTTTCTCCACGTAAGAACTGAAGGCTTGATTCCTATGACATTCTTTGATTCTAATGGGAATCCGACGTTCTTTTCCTCCGGTGCAGAGCAGAGGTAGTGCAGAGAAGAATGTTGCTACTGGGCTTTGGACTTTAGGGTTTTGTACAAATGAGTTCAAGGACACCAGGATTCCCGGGTTGCAACGCGCAAGCCACTCAAGCCATTTCTACAATAGCTTGTTCGTATTCCATGATCATGTCAACACCCACGCCTTTCCAAAGTCTGTGAACGACAGCAAACAAAATGCCACATGCTGAGCAACTGAGCGATGTCAAATCGATTGCTTCTCTGACCAAACCGATTTCTGTCAACACCATCCGCCGGGCGGCGCTTGGCTCGAATTGAGGTATGATTGTGGTGTGGCCGTCCGGCCGGGCTTGGAGACACTTGGCTGCAAGGGTCTTTTCAGCAGTCACATGAGCCACGTGCAGTCAAAAAGAAACACCAGAAACACTTGGCTAGAATCTCAGGTAAAGAAATCAGAAGCTGAAGAGTCTATATAGCAAGGAATCCAGAGTCAAGATCAGCATCCAACCATTTGGAGATAGCTGGAGCTACTGCACAGCAAGTCTCATTGTGCGACGTGTCCAGGAAGTTTCTTGAGTGGATCAAGGCGGGCTGCCACTGGGATCGGACCCAGCTTCTTATTCGGACCAAGCGTGGCAAAACCAAAGCACAGCAATGCCACTTTTTGAACATTTTTCTTTCCTCTCCTGGATTAATACCATACCTGCATTATATGGCCTGCCCAAAACGAAGCAGACCTATCAAGCTCTTGTAGAGTGTAGTTTCCGGGTCACCGTGACTTGAAGAAGAACCTTTCGGACTCATATTTTACTTTCGTTGCCTTTCTCGTTCCTTTGCTTACGGGATGACCAAACTACAAGCTTATGTCACACCGGGATGACCTGGAAAGGCTTCTCTTCGGATCTTTTCTTCACTCTTCGGATCCAAACGGAGAGACGTCTCTTCGAACCACCGGCGAGATCGGTCGGAGAGTCGGAACAGGAGCGGAGGCGCGAAGGCCTGATCGAAGGCGGGGGTTCCGAAGGCGGTGGAAGGTTTTGCGAGGTTCGGGAGGGCGAAAAGAGAAGGCAAGACTTTAGTTCAATATGTAACTATATAACTATAATACCACTATATTCGTTATAGCAACAGTATGATTACACTAACATAGAACATTCACCATATACCATATCACTAGTTTTGAGCTTTGTAACATTCTTCAAGTCTGGTTCTCTAGTCCTTTCGGCCCTGCCTAGCAGGCAGGGGCACCAGAAGTTGAATAGTTCCGTACTGCAATTACATGCATCAACCAGGCGAGTTGGTTGGGGGATGAGATCGCTTCGGATCAAGTCAGGAGCCGTTTTTGGAGCCGAATAGGAGTCATTTTCCAGCCAGCGGGAGAGGTCATTCTCTTGGAACAATCCCCAAATGCACTTGTCCCCCGATGTGCAACTAGCCACCACGCAGCGATTCTTTTTGCATTTTTTTTGCAGCAAACTTGTTTGACACCATGCAGCGCATTGCCAAGATCTGCCATGCAGCTCGGAGAAAAGGTCCTGGTGGATGGATGCTGGCGTGGGCGCTGATCCATTTGATCTGAACATCTCACGTCAGTCATGTCTGATCTGATCTCAACCTGAGAGCACCCATTGGGTGGGGAGACCAAGTGCAGGGAGGTAGAGGAAACCGATTCAAGCAATCCACCATCCAGTCAATTTTGAGGTGTTGACTCCAGAGCAAAACACGCTTCACATGAGACATTTGTCACACCGCAAATATACAACTAACTACTGTATATGTATTTAAACAATATCATCGCATTTCTATTTGTTTTTGCACATTCCCGAGAAAAACTTCCTCACTTCTGATTGTGGGTCCACATCTTCCAAACCTTTGTATGGGATGAGTCATGAGCATCCGATTTTTGAGCGAGGACATGTGCGCTCCCGACCAGTGCCTTGGACGGGACATGTGGAACTGAGACAGTTTAAAACCATGTATTTGATACTATTTCTAGTCGAGGATGGTGTTTATTGCTGACCCTCATACGGAAATGGAACTGGGCAACCTGCAATAATTTCTGTTGTTTCCTGGAAGACAGATGTTCGACAAGCTGGTGGTGAGTCATGTTACCTAACGGGAGTACCTATCATGGTTGGCACAAATCCTGCAAGGCTTCCACCAGGGTATATAGAGGCAATATATAGTTGTATAGTTTCTTCTTCAAGTACTCAATGGATCTATGGATTGAGATCCTGGGACTTTCAGTCAGATGCATAATTCTCAGATGATTTCAACTTCTCCATTGAGAAAGGTAGATATGATTCTCGGTACGCATTTGATGCCCAGGAGCTGTGTGCAATACTGGCTGTTGCCCGAGCGAGCACCCGAATGGACCCTCGGATGGGGGAAGGTGGGTGTCGGTGTCGGTGTTTCCTGTGCGGTCGAGGCGAACTACCCGATTGACACGTGGAGACGAAGGCATCCTGAATCCTTTGGAAGCCATCCTCACAAGAGGCAAACTTTTGAGATAGCGGATAGACCATACAAGCTGAGTCTGGTTAGTTTGTCGCGTCACGGCTCAGTAGCTGTGGAAACGCCTTCAAAATCGCTGGACAAATCCCAACCAAGGCTCTGGAAACTCCTTCTTTCCCAGGTTGAACGAATACTAGCCCCAAGCCCCGACTTCCTCGGGTTCCACACTTTCCATCTCCTTCGGTACAAACAGCACGGAATGCTGTGCGTGCTCGAGTCTCAGGCCGCAACACATGAATCCGTCTTCCCCCGAGAGACCGTTTCACGGTCACACGAGCTTGCGCTCGCGCTCCAAACGGCACCGGCCCAGCCGAGGTACCGGAAGTTGGTCTTGGGCACTGGCAGTGGGGACCTCCACGTGCGCTCCGCGCCGAAGGACTCCTTACCCCTGCTAGGCCGGTTCGGGACGCCGGTGAAGGGTTCGAACGGTGGGCCCGAAGGGGTGAGCGTGGCCGAATGGGTGGAACGGCTGCTTGTTGAAGTGGAAGGGAAGTGGCTAGTGACTAGAGGGGAGAGAAGATGTGGTAGTTTCTTAATTGGAAACACTTGGAAAAATGGTCACCAAAAACTATCATCAAGAACCGCTGGATGAATGGCTATGCTTGTCATAGTCTTTCAAAATCCTTTGTGCACCATTCAGCGTATGCCTCGGACAAGGACATGTATGCCTGCCAGCTGGGTTGAATGTGATCTTTCGAAGGTATGACTTGTCTTTAGTGGAAAATGATTCCCCCATTGCTGGCTGACGGCTGCTGGCGAAAAAGGTCTATTCTTCACCGTTTCCGTGAGGCCACATCGAATTGACCGTTCCCAAACTGGAGGAGAGGGAGATGGCATTTTTCCAGCAAAAAGCGGAGCGGTTTCCAAGGATTGGTGAAGTTTGGCCAGCACGTGGCATCGATTGCTGCGACTTTGACATTGGGTTTCAAGTGCAAAATCGACCGATTCTACAGATTTGGGATCATTTTCATTCTAATGAAACCCAGTACATTCCATTCAGACTATGGGCTAGATTCCTAGATGCTAGATTGATGCTACACTACAAACGGTCAACGGCTTTTCTCTGTTGGGATGGAATCTCCTCGGAGCTCTCCAGGATGCCAAACTATTCTGGATGGAGGGCCTGGGCTGCGACGAGACCTACAACGCTTCCACGAGAGAGTGACCCGGCAGGAAATCGATTCTCATCTATAGACAGGTCTCAGCCGGACAATGTCAAGATCTTAAACCTCAAAACCCGGTGACTCTGTGATTGCTAAAGTGCACGAACAAAAGCGACGGAATCGGTGATGATGGTTGGGCCCAAAAGTTCAGACACTGAATCCACAGGGGTGAATCCACTGAGTTTTCCCACTGAAAACTCCCACCCTGACGCCCTGTGGGCGTGTCGGTTTTCTTTTTTCGTTGGGGTTCCAGGTGCCGATGCTTTTGGCGCGTTTTGCATTGCTTTTTCCTTGCATCTGCGCCGCCGTGGTGTTGCTGCGCTCCGCGGCTCTCCGCGGTGCTCTGCTGCGCTCTGCGATGCGGCGGGAGGGGCATCGGCTCTTTCCGTCGCCCAGGTTGTGGGCCCATCTTGGACCTTCGCAGGTGCGCTTCAAGGAGGGAAGCTCTTCGACATCTTGGCCTGGCGAGCGGGAAGACCCAGCACGGAAGAACTGACATTTTTTGTGTTTTGTGGCTCGCAATGATAGATGACTACCAGAGATGGGTATATTTTTTATCATCCCAGTGTCCAAAGGTGGATCTGAACACTAGAGATCTTGTAGTGACATGTAGTCACTCTAGTCCCTGAAATCATGGTTACATGGATGCCCATTTCCAATCCTCTACAAAGCAGTTTGTTTTTGTTTTTTTTCTCCCAGCTCCATGGAGTATACCTCAGGGAGTGTACCTCCATGTGCCCACCGGAGGTCCCGGTCGCCCGTCGGCGGTCGAGGATCCGCATTTGGGTCGAGGACATCCGCTCGGTGGCCGCGGCTTGGCGTGGAAAAGTGGGTTGTAGAGGAACCTGAACATCAAAGTCAGAAGCCATCAGATAGCCATCAGATTGTCCAGTTTTAGGGCTGACATGAGTTGAGGGTTGCACACTTCAGGTATTCTGGGATGGCGTGAGGTATGAAGACCTTGGAGGGCTAGAATATGCTAGAATCTAGAAGAAGTAAGTTGAGAGTTCTCCTCCTTGGTTGATGTCTGCCACCAAGGATATGCTGAATATGTTGGGTCGCACTCTGGATACGAAGATTGTTGAAGAGATGCGAGAAGCCCGGACTGGTGGAGAATATGCAGCGCAACTCGCCTGCATGGCGGCGCCCGCTTTGACCGATTCTGGGTGCAAAGTTCGACAAGGAGAGCTTTGACCAGAAGGTCTAGACTCTCTGAAATCATCATGGAAGTGGATGGCATGGCCCGTTTGGATGACGAAATCCGAATACCAAACAGATGGTGGTTTTCCACTTCCAGGATGACTTCCGGTCTCAGGGAGTGTACAAACGGATGTTTGAGAACACCAAATGGTTTCCTATGACCTGATGGACGAAGCCGTGATCTGTCCCGGTGCGTAGGCGGCCGCGGCGCTGGGAAGGCAAGGTGAGAAAAGGATCACGTAGACTCATGTATAATGTTTGAACATGAAGAGGTTTACAGTCAAGATTCTACATTACATTATTCTATCATTTCTATGTCACAGTGGTCGAAGATGTAGGCGGTTTCAGCATGCAAGCAGCAGGGGAAGAAACACCGCAAAGATGCTTCAGTCCTTCCTCAATCATCTTCAATCAAATGTAGAGATGGGCAGAACTTGGGCTTGGGTTGAGCTCAGAAATATTTAAAGTGATCCCCCGAGCAGAAATTCATCTTGCATCCATCTTCCCACATCTGAAAAAGAGCTCCCCTACCTTCAAGACGACCACCTGTGCTTGCTCCAGTCCCGCCGAGTCTTTTGCATGATCCTGGGCTGAAGAACAAGATTGAAGCCAGTGAGGCCGTCCCGGTGAACAATCTCGGCCTCATGCGTTGCATCACCTGTCAAAAAGGATTCAAAATATCATATCGTCAAGCTTTAAACATATATAATGGTCGAAGAGTTGAAGGGTCTTATATAGAAGTCGAAAAAGACACCGACACTAGTAGTTTTGGTTTGTTTCGCCTATGAACTACGGACACCCCCTTCCTTCAATCCCTTGTCATTGGTTTTCTGAAATTCTCGCAGGCACCCGGTGGGTGGAGCGCTGCCCTTCGGCAGATCCCCATCGGCTTGTGCCTGGGAGTTCGGACATCGGCTCGAGACCGTCGGGGATTTGGGGATCGGAGTCTGGATGAGCCGGGAGCACCAGCCCCTGAGAACGAAAAGGCACCTACTTTGGAGCACCTACTAGGCGGAAGAGGCGAAAAAAAACGAACATCATCCAAATGTTTCTGTGATTGCTATCGATGCTCCCGGACACCCCCGGGCACCACAAACGGCACTAGTGTTAAGCCTACCGGGCGCTTTTCAAAGTATATTATACAGCTGGAACTTGGGAAGCCAAGTTTGACAAATGACAAACGAATCCCATCCATCAATGTCAGCCTCTGGGGCCCCTGCAGGTAGGCTGGATGATGTTAAAGAGCGCAAGAAGATTCTCTTCAGTCCCCACCTTCAAGCGCTGAACATTTTGCAGAGTGAGTGGCTAAAGACCTTGGAAGAAAGACACTAGCCGACGCCGATGCCCCATTCTTGAGACCGAGATTCGACCTCGCCAATGGTCCAATGCAACTCGAAGCGGCCGAACCAAAGCATTATTTCGTACCCTCATCGTTCGCCCATTAGAGTGCCACGCTAGTAGTAACAAGTGCATCGCTAGTAGTAACAAGTGCCTTACTTCTAGTAACAAGTGCCTTACTAGTAGTAACAATGTTTGCTATTACGTAGTTAATTTAATTCTAATAGCAAACATTGTTTCTACTAGTAAGGCACTTGTTACTAGAAGTAAGGCACTTGTTACTAGTAGCTTCTTGTTACTAATAGCAAACATCGTTTCTACTAGTAAGGCACTTGTTACTACTAGCGATGCACTTGTTCCTAGAAACATCGTTCGCCCATTAGAGTTTTCAAGTTTCCCCAAAAAGCTAGGAACCAAATCATTAGCGCGAGCTATCCTGCGTCCTGTCGGTAGTATCTACTTAAGCTACTAGCGACTCCCTAGCTACTAGCTACCTAGCTACTAGCGGCCTACCCCCCTAAAAACACATATACCATTGAAGTCCCCTGGGTCCGATTTGATCCCACCTGATGCGTTGGGTCCACTTCATGACCCAGGTGTTCTGTTTCGAACCCACAGGACCGCCACCGTTGTGGTGTTTGATGGGTTGGCGAGGTCTGCGCAGGCGAAGAAGAAGAACGCATTGGCCATCTCTGATGCTGTTGTTCATCTCCCTACGCGGACACAGATTCAAGGTGAGCCATGCTCCTCCCACCAGTTAAGGCTTAGGCTTAGATATGTTTAGAAGGATGAACTATTCCATGTACTTCTATGGTCAACTCTACATTCTGCAAGCAATATGAAAACAATTGCATCTTAGGTTTTGCTACCAGGTTAGGACCCCTCTTATCGGACTGTCCAGCTGCATGAACCAAGAGTTCTCTTCACGAACTTGACAGCTAGGTAATCATCCGACTCATCATCAATAGATAGTACCATCAGGAAACATTAGCTAAGGGACGAACGCACGTTCACAATGATGTTTTCATTTTAACTGTCATTTGTTCCGGGAAGGAATGCCTCATGTTATCGCTAGTCATCCACTACCTCGAAGTATACACCATAATAGTCCTTTTCCCCAAACAGTTCACTGTTGGGGCTCTCTCTTAGTCTCTGGCCGCGCCCCTAGTGTCCTCTAGTGTTTGGGGGACCTTGCCCCCCTAGGACTCCTCTTCTTGTCCTCCTGTTGTCCTCTGTCCGCGCTGGCGAACCCTGTGTCCATGCCGCAGGCCGTTGGGCCTTTCTTCTCCGCCTTGTGAGGGCTTTGTCCAGGCCTTGTCCGGATCTGTCTGTCCTTGTCCACGTTGTCAACCCTTTGATCACCGCCTTGTCCCGGCCTTATCCCCTGATCCACGCTGCTTTCCCAGAAGCTCCACCGCCTGAATGAAACAATGATGCAGCGTTTGATATCATCCTCCGATTTTCTCATGACTTATATATGTATACTGTATATAAATCCCTTTGTGTTTGCACATGTGACGCCGGGATTCGGAGCTATTGTCTTCAAACATTTTTGGTTTACATGCCATTCCCAATACAGACGTGACTACCAACAAGGAGTTGACGCAACACAAACAATCTTAAACTGTTTGGGGTCTATGCTGGCATACTTATATCAGATATTCATGTGGAATCTTGGAGGTGTAGCACGTTTCTACGACCACTACATTGGCTCTGCCATCACCAAGAAGTATGCTGTCTACGAGGCGCTCGGTTTCGGCGCTCTGCCATCCCAACACGACCGAAACTTGGAGGTGTTGTACCGTTCTGGCCACCTGGCTGAGGTGAAAGGCAGGCATGCCGATGTTTGTGATATACCTACATCAAATCATCAAAAAAGCAGGTATCATGCCAAGACTCTCTTCTTTGCTACATACCGGTATGTGTGACGACGAATGCGGATGCACAGGCATGCCATGTAGCCGACTTGGGCTCAAGTGACTTCAGAGCTGAATCTTTCCCAGTGTAGAAGATGATGCCCGCAGATGAAGGCTCCACAGCAGATCCATTGCCAGTGGTGGGGGGCTATGCAGGTCCAGCAGCACAACCATCCTCCGGTACATCTGCAGCTTTGCCCAGTGAAGGCACCCAGATGCCCGTGGCCCCCGAGAAGGTCGACGAGCCGGGACCAGCGCCTCCTGCAGAGGCCGTCCCGGCTCCAGCTCCCGAAGCGACCGAGGGCGAGGGTGGACTGCTGGGGCGCTTGCGTGAGAAGGTCGCGCCCACGGTGCAACGAGTTGCGGAGATGGAGTCAGTCCAAAAAGGCTATGAGAGAATAAAGGAGGCGATTGGGTCATGAGGGTCCCCAAAATCGGTCAAACGTCGTGAGTGTCTGGATTTGTGTGCGAGGCCGATGTAGAACCGGACACCCCATGGGATGTCCGAATCCGCGTCGATGTTTTTTCCAGGTGTCTCATCGCGTGGCGGAGAATGAGAGGGTCCAGCAGGGAGTTGAGAAAGTTCAAAAGGGGCTTGAAGTCGCCAAGGAGAAGGGTGGATTGTTCAACGGAGTTTCTCATGAACTTTGCATGGTTTGGAAAGATGCGACAGATCGTGAAAGAAATATTGCTTCAACCCCCAGGTTTGGACTTTTCCGAAAGGCGCCATCTCAATCTTTTCGTGCGAAATCTGCCGTTGAGGACACAGGTAAGGTGGTCATGGAAAAGACCCAGCAGGGCATTGAAGCCGTGAAAGAGAAGACTCGGGAATGGCGCGCAGGTGCTGGCACTGTGTGGGAGCAAGGTGGGGGTGTTTGTTTTTTTCAGCTGTGCCCTGAAAACTTCACATATTGATGGCTTTCTACTTCCACTCCCACCTGAAACTGGGACACGTCGACAGGCCGTGGCAGCATTCAAAGGATCCGAACGGAAGGAGTGAGTGCTTTGGCCTGGCGTGGCTCGGCCAAAGACACTCTGGCCATGGAGGAGCAGTGGAAAGACATTAAAGTTCAAGGCGGGTGTGGAAAACCAAACGCACATTTCTCCAACATGCGGATTTTGAAGCTACCCAGATGTGTGAAAAATTGTGCAGGATTTTTGTGGATCTGTGGGTGTGAAGATCAAAGGGAGAGGTGGTCTAGATGATTGTAGATGTAAAAGACGTATTTTTTGTGCCGCCGCATCTTAGAAGCTGCGCTTTTTCTGGGACTTGCTGCAGGTGCCGAGGAGCTGTCCGTACCAGCGAGGACAGAGCACACCTGTGCCTACCATGTCAGCAAGGGGAGCACCTTGCGCTGGACCTTTCGGGTGAAGGACCACGACATTGGATTCGCGGTGAGGATGCGAGTGCAAGTGTGGGGTGGTGCTCAGGAGGAAGAGGCAAAGTCTGGGGTCGGTTGGTTGGACACTGGGTGTGGTTGGGTTGGTAATATAACTTCTATAACATGTACGAACCGCTTGTGTTAACATCTGGCCCAGCAGGTTCTAGCTATGGAGCGGTATGACAACAATCACACGATCTCGGGCAGCTGGGTTGCGGATGAAGACCGAACATTGATCTTGGCCTTTGACAACCGCTACAGCAAGTTGCGTTGCTTGGAATTTGCAGCTGATCAGCTTGATTCCTTCTTTTTTGATGCTCTTTTGCACCGTTGTGGCAGTTTCCCTCCTCACTCGGTGGGGGCAAGACTTTCAGGTGCGAAGACGGTGGCCTACATCGTTGGCACCGAGAAGCCGCCCGTCTTCGTGGAGGACAAATCAGAGCCTCCACGGCCAGTGGTTTGAGCGCCGCCAGAGGGTCAGCCCTGGTGCAGCCGACGGCGGACAGGATGGTTTGATGCAGACCTGCCAAGCAGCTGCACAGTGCATGAGCCGGGTCTGAGTGCATCACATGAGTTGATGCGAGACAGCCTTTAACTTTGAAGAAAAGGACCATGTCATGCTATTCTGGGCTACACTGGGGTTAAGATGATTCTGTGACTAGGAACTCGCTGTCACACCCAATACGAAAGACTTGCGCAGCTTCCTGGCCACAGGCGCAGGCGTTGATGGACATTTGCATCATACACTTTGCTCCTGGGGCGAAGTTGCATCAGACTTTGACCTACAAGGCAGACAAAAGATATACGCGACTTGGATATGTTTGGGTTGACAGAAGGTACTCGTAGTTTTGTGTCATTGGCTGGTGCATGGGACTCTGTTCAACGTCGACATTGCCACACTGGTTTTCTGGGTCAGTCCATATATATATATATATATATAGGTTGGGGATCTTTCTGGGGTAGGTGAAAGGGATTCCAAGCAGCTTGGAGTCCAAGTCCGCCTGCATAGAGCGTTTGGGTAGAACTGGGCTTTCCCCCCCACCGTGCCGTGGTGGCTGAGGGTCCCAAGCAGCTTATCCTCAGATCCATGGCAGCAGAGAGAGGCCGAGGCAGCAGTGAGGCAAGAGTGGGAAGCCGTTTGTTATATAGATACTTTGTTAGATACTTTGCAATCCCAGATCTGCTGATTGTTCACATCCTTTGTTACACCCTATGCTATTTCCAGTGAAGCCCAGAGTGAAGCATCATCATTCGTCTATGATCAGGGACCATCAGCCATCACATTTCTATTGAAGGCCACAGCAAATCATCATGGTCCTTGTTATACAGAGGCTAGGAGCAGCCAGCCGGCATGTCTACAGTGAATGATACATTGGCTATGGCAAAGCATGGTGCAAATCAAACGCTCCAAATACATATCTTCTTTTTACCCCCCGAAACCCGGTGGGTGAGGAGGGTATGTGCGGAAGCGGAAGCGGTTCTGAGTTCTGAGTATCTGAGTCCGTCCGCACCTGAGGTATGCATCTACATGAAGGACCATGGGCAGTTCCACCTGGCCTATGTCCCTCGGCGAGAGTTGTGTTCTCCTGTCCCAAAGAGATGTCTCAAGAGGCACCAGAGTTCGGTTTGAGGCCAAGTGCAAGACCAGTGACTTGCTCTCCATCGAGTGCTCCAAGAAATCCTGGGAGGAGGTGACATTATCGGTTCTTCGACGTGAAGGGTTCGTCTAGTCGAATGAAGCGGTGTCGGAACGACCTAAACTCGGAACTGGGAGCCTTTTCCCAGATGGATATGGCCACGCAGTTCCGAGTTTGTGGGCGGTTTCGGAATCAGGATGGGGCAAGGGCTCAATTTGATGGTTTGGGGTCACTTCTGGTCAATGGGTAGTCAGCCAAGAGTGGACTTTTGGTGCAACCAAGCACCCAGATGCTTTCAGCTTCGGCCCTGGTGTTTATTAATGAGTGTTTTGGTAGGACGCAGGGGGAGATGTGGCATCCATCCATCACATGTGTTTGTGGCCCACCTGCGACCAGATCGAGTCCCAGAAGGAGTTTCTCATCACAGGCGCATCCTTGTGTTGATAGAGCGATGAACGTGAGCGAGGTAAGTTCCATGGAAGTTGATGGCATGGTGTTGGGAAGAAGATTTTGGTGCTGCAAACTGGGAGCTGTCGACTTCCAGGTATTTGTCGGTACGTGCAGTCGGACAGAGTTTTTCTTTTTTGTCGGAGGCGGCGGGGGGGGTAGGCCGCGGAGGTCACTATAGAGGAATAGCTAGCAGCTAGTAGCTTACTTAAGCTACTACCGACAGGACGCAGGATAGCGAAGACGCTTCTTCAAGGAAACTCCCCCCGAAAAGCCCTGTCGGGGAAGCTTCCTTGAAGAAGCGCTCGCACCAATGATTTGCTTCCTAGATTTTTAGGGACACTTCACTAATAGGTTGGATGTCTCCCAGGTTCGTTTTTTCACCTTTTGAACACCTTCAACGCGAGAACTCCTGGGTTCGGTGCGAGAACTGCGCCCGGTTCTTTGTGATGCCACTGGTTGATATCTTTACATCAATGATTGAACTGGTCGCGGTCGCGCTCGGCACTGTCGCAGCTGGTCGTTCTTCAGTGGTACTTCCACTGTCGCAGCTGTTCGCAGCTGGTGTAGACTGTGTCTTCCCAGTGGCACGCAGATCTCAGGGTCCATTGGGTGTTTTCCAGATGGACGTTCCGGGTGTTTTCGCCAACTCCTCCGTCTCTGCGCCTGGACCCGGATGGATTGGTCCTCAGGTGTGATGGACCCACAGGACCACAGCATGGTCCTCCGATTACCCCACATTCTCAGCAGCTTGGCCGCCGCCTTCAAACCACCGGGGGCCAAGGGGGGTCTGGTCACCATGGCGAAGTGGGACTGTCCGGCAAAGACGCGACTGTCTGATGTGTTGCCAAATACAGGGAGGTTTGAGGTTGGTGTCATCACATTGGTTGTGAACTTTACTTTCAATTTGCCAACGTCTCACGTCTTTCGACCTCTCACGTCTTTTGTCCTTTCGACCTCTCGAAGTGCTGCGGTCATATGCCAAGCGCAGCGGCGTAGATATCAGGCACTGTACAGTACATCGCTGTACATGGGTGCGTATCCCAGCAGCCTGCAGCATCCAAGGAACACTGGATCATCCTGAATGTCCTCTTCGCCCATCATAGCTCTCACGAGTAGCGAATGCGCACGCGTTGTTCGCCCCGCGCGCGAAGAACACGGCAACTGTACAGAGCGGTGACATCACCGGACTTCGAAGACGAGTTTTTGTTCGGAAGAAACCACGGAGAATTGGATCTCAATGCATGGCAGCGGCTGTGTTGTCTCAGTCTTCAAGTTTGAGCTTCGATGGATTTCTTTTGTAGTCAGCTGGCTTTTTGAACGGCTGCTTTTTGCAGCTCTTCAGCCGGAGAAAAAGCACGGATGCAGAACAGTTCTGCAAGATTTCGAGAAGAGAGAGGTTTTTGGTGCCAATGGGGCCAATGGGGCCTTTGCAGAAACGCATGGGGCCTTTGGTTGGAGGCCATCACCTGTTGGACTGTTGAAGACCCAAACGACCGCGACCGCCTCTTGGCCTGAAGCTTCTTTTGCGCTGCCTCTGTGAGGCCCTTGGATCTACACCACCTCGACGCCAAACTATACCAAGGTCTCTGGGCCCTGGGGCCGGGTTGGGTCGTTGTGATGCATCAAGCACTCTTGAACTAATTAAATGGGAAGATTATGGCGATGGACGCAACATGAGTTGGCAAAAAATGCCAACTCTTGACTGCAAGAGTCTCTTTTTGCTAACATAGACTCACAAACATAGAAAAACACCTCGCGTCATCAGCAGGTTCGGACCGCTGAGACGACGCTTGATCGCTGGAGGCTCTGATGCGACACGTGGATCCGGGTGGCAAAGTCTTCGCCATGCGCGCTGGGGGACCCCGGTGCGGACGCGTCAAAATGTGTGCTCTTGCGCAAGAAGAAAACGGGAAACCTTGCCCAGTCCGGGCGGAGGTTTTTGCGGAGCTCCTTCAGATGCCCCAAGATTTGGAGAGATCACCACGAGGGCCACGAGGGTTTGTGTTAAAATAGGGAGAGCTTTTTAGTTCGATCCACTGGAAGATTTGGGAAAGTTCGACCAGGCAGTGCCAAGCGGCGATCGGCGGTCCCCTTATTAAAGTCACACCCAAGATGTGTGTTTGTGTGTCTGTCTCAAGTTGCATGTTTGTAGCTACATCAGATCATGCCCATGGATGTAGGACATTTCTTTGCAGCTAGACCCAAGTGATTTTGTAGCAGAAGTCCATGTCGTCTTGTCCAGATGTCCAGTCTTTCTTCACCTGCCTTCAGTGAGTTGCTTTTGTTGGATGCATGATGCTGACTGCAGTGAGAAGCCATCAATTTGGACTGACCGAGGTGCTTACTCGGGATCAATGCACACCTTGCCAAGTACCAGGCTTTTTCTTGAAGGCCTGTGGCTAAGTCTGGAATCGGATGGCGATGGGTTGGAATCGGATCAGATCTACAGGAAGGTACCTTGAGAGAGCCGTTCGGGTGTGCTGTTTGGCATGCCACCCTGAGCAGGATTTCACATTCAGAACACTGAGTTCCAAATACGGGTTCGTGCTGGCGGTGGATAGTGCCATCCGTGTACGGGAAAAGAAGAAGGCGGTCAAGAAGGCAGTTGATGAGTCCGTTCCTTTTCTCCATCCATCCAGGATCCATCCCCATCCGAATCATTCTCTTTGGTGTGGTCAGGGGAGACGCATCAGTGGGCATGAGTCAGTCTTTGTTGAGCAAGTGGTGCTTGCGGCGCTGAGAAAACACGGACACTGACTGATGGGTAGCACTTTTATCCATAAACTTGATCGAAGACGCGAGAAATCCTGGAACATTGGTTCTTCATCAAACTCCTTCCGCTGAACTCCAAGGAGTTTCAGGGTCTATGTTTCCGCCTCAGGATATGTCGTTGATCCGGTCCAAGATGGATGGGGACGACTCCAACTCACTGCAGCGCAGGGTGCGGTTGGACACAGAGCGCGTGTGGGTGGTCCTTCGTGCGCCTGGTGTCGAGACGAAGCGTGTCATCTTCGTTGATCTGGTCTCGTACAAAGAGTCAGTGAGAAGCTACAGCTTTGGTGAGAAGCTACAGATTTTGTCCACATGACCCATCATGACCCATCATGACCCGCACTGAATGATGGGATGATGCCTGATTTTTCATGATGACCTCGAAGGATGACCGTTTTCGAGCGGCTGTTCTGTTCCCTTGCTACGTCCCCAGCGACCCGACCGGTGTCCAACCTTCGCGACTGGTCCGACCCGACAGATCTTGGTGGACAACAATCCGGTCTCATGTGTGCTTCACCCAAGCGGATCAGCAGGGATGCCCAAGGGAACGGAACAGATCTGGGGATGAGAACATGGACATACATGGACCATTTCTTTGGTTTAGTTCAACAAATGGCCACAGGCACTTTTTCTGTTTTTTTGGGGTTCAGTTCTTTGCTTCTGAATCAGCTAAGTATTTGTGCGCCCCAAAAAAGGACCCTGGCATTGCCGGTTCCAAACTTGGCTCCGGTCTTTGGTCCAACCTCACATCACCACACGCCCCGAACGATGAAATCATCGGACACCAGCTTGCGAACAGTTTGTGAAAGTCACAGCATTTCCGAAACGTTTTTCTGTCTTTTCTTCCCGAATGGGTGGCGAAGGGTTCTTGTTTAACTCTGGGGGTCCGGGGGTAGAGCCTTGTTCACGACTCGTTGTCTCAGCGTTCGCAACCGTCCGCAACTGACCGCAACCGTTTGCTTGTGACCGCGGTAGGGCGCTAAGGCGCTGCCATTGGGGGAAGCTTTTGGAGAGGGTTTTGGATGGAAGCGTGACGTGTCAGATTCGTGTGGAGACGTAAGATGGTGAAGTGTGGAGGATGATTTCACTGCACAGCAGCGTTTTGTGAGATCCACAGTTTTGCGCGCAGTCACATTGGGATTGGCGTTTGGAGAGTGGTGCTTTTGGGGTGTTGGAGGTGACTGTTACATTGGGATTGACGTTTCAGGGTGTTGCAAGGAAGCTGTGTTTTCGTGACAGGTCTCAGCTGAAGTGGCGATTTTGGTGGATGGGTGTGTGCTCAGAACGAGTCGAAATCATTCCAAGCGTGTGGTGTGGTGCAAACTTTGTTGAAGTTCACATGATATGATATTGTCTCTTTTCGTGGCAGGTGCGTGACTTTGTGTGGGTTTTGAGGTGCGTGTGGAAGTGCGATTCTCGTGGCAGGTGCAGGGAATCGTGAGGTTGCGAGGTGTGGCAGAGGGCGCATTTCATGGCAGGCGCAGTACTTTGTGTGTGTTAGACGCGTCGACAGGTAAATTTTCGTGGTAGGCGCAGGGAATCGTGAGGTTGCGAGTTGTGATGGAGGTGAGTGTCGCTGTGACATTGGGATTGGCGTGTGAGCGGGCGTTGTATGGAGGGATTGAAATCGCGAAGCTCCTTTGGATGTGTGTGCTGATGGGAGTTCCCGCTTGGCTTTTGGAGGATGTCTCGTATGAAAAGCTCATTTTGGAGACTTTGACATGTGACGTTTGGAGGGCTCGTTTTGCAGACTTGAAGTGTCCCACAAGAGTATCCGACCAGAGTGTCCCACAATAGTGTCCCCACAAGAGTGTCGGACAAGAGTGTCCTACAAGAGTGCCCCACAAAAGCGTCCCACAAGAGTGTCCACAAGAGTGTCGGACAAGAGTGTCCCACAAGACTGTTCCATAAGAGTGTCCGACAAGAGTGTCCTACGAGAGTGTTTCGCAAGAGTGACATACAAGAGTGTCCCACAAGAGTGTCCTACAAGAGTGTTCCGCAAGAGTGTCTCACAAGGGTTGTGAGTTAGGAAGTAGCTAAAAAGATTGCTTTTAAACATATTTATTTTTACGATTTTTGTTATGGATTTGTTTTGAAAAACTTGTGAAAACAGTTATGATCAAATTTATGATTTGTTGGGCTGAATTGCCAAACATACACTTGCGATATATTGTTCGTATGGCTAGGTAGGAGGTTTGGGAGCTTCTTGGATTGTGGTCAGCAGCCCAATCAGCTATTTCACGTCTGATGGAAAATTGACAACGCAAGGAATCAAGGGTGGGGACACGGTGGCCCTTGCAAGCCGCCCTGACCTTTTCCACTCCAAGCCCTGGGCCATACCACGTCCAGTTCCCAACCATAACGAAACCATAACTGTCCTCCAACCAAGTATCAAAGCCATAAAAACAGCCATAACGAAATCATAACAAATCCATATCAATTCCATATCGAATCCATATCGAACCCATAAAAATCCATAAGAATCGGCGACTTTATTTATTTTTATGAAAATCTTAGGGAAACCTTATGGAAATCTTATGAAAAACTTATGCCAAATCTTATGGTTTTTTTATGGCCGCAGCTGTGGTCACTAGGCGGTCTGGACTCCACTTGGTCTCCGTCCGTCCCCGTGTGTCCAGTGCCCAAACGTCTAGGGCTTGGGCTACCAGCTGCCTTTTAAGGTTTAGGTTTGAGAGTTGTTTAGCCAGTGACTGCTGTTGCCCTGTGTTCTCTGCAGGGTTGCTCATAATTGGTCTGGGTCTTAGATTGTGTACTCCGTGTGTTGTTGTTCTGTCACCACTAGCTTCCTGATTTTACGCAAAAAATAAGTACAAACAAAGCATATGTATTGGCATATTCAGTTTCATAAGAAAACCATAACAACATCAAAAAAATAAATAAACCATAAATATTTTTTTGGCTGACTTCCAAACTCACAACACAAGGGTGTCATATAAGAGTGCCCCGCAACAGAGTCTTACAAGAGTGTTACTCAAGAGTGCCCCGCAAGAGTGAGTGTTATACAAGAGTGTCCCACAAGAGCGACAAATAAGAGTGTCCGACAAGAGTGTCCCACAAGAGTGTCCTGCCACAAGAATGCCCAACAAGAGTGTCCTACAAGCTACAAGAGTGTCCAGCAAGAGTGTCCCGCAAGAGTGTCCCACAAGAGTGTCCTACAAGAGGGTCCCACAAGAGTGTCCCGCAAGAGTGTCCCACAAGAATGTCCGACATGAGTGTCCTATGCAAGAGTGTCCCACAAGAGAGGTCCGCAAGAGTGTCCCACAAGAGAGTCCTACAAGAGTGTCATACAAGAGTGTCCTACGAGAGTGTCCCACGAGTGAGGCAGAGTGTCCCAAGAGAGTGTTCCGCAAGAGTGTCCGACAAGAGTGTCCTACAATGGAGTACCAAAACGGTGTCCTACAGGAGTGTTCCGCAAGAGTGTCCCACAAGAGAGTCCCACAAGAGTGCTTCGCAAAGTGTCCTACAAGAGTGTTCCGCAAGAGTGTGTGTCACACAAGAGTGACAAACAAGAGTGTGCCACCAGAGTGTCCCGCAAGAGTGTCCCACAAGAATGTCCGACAAGAGTGTCCTACAAGAGTGCCCGGCAAGGGTGTCCTACAAGTGTGTCCCACAAGAGTGTCCTATAAGACTTTCCCACAAGATTGTCCTACAAGAGTGTTCCGCAAGAGTGTCATATAAGAGTGTCCCACAAGAGAGTCCTACAAGAGTGTTCCGCAAGAGTGCCGCAAGAGTGTCCGATAAGAGTGACAAACAAGAGTGTCCCGCAAGAGTGCCCCACAAGAGTGTCCTACAAGAGTGCCCCACAAGAGTGTCTCACAAGAGTGTCCCAGAAGAGTGAGTGTCGTGTCATACAAGGTGTCCCACAAGAGTGCACAAGAGTGTCAGACAAAGGTGTCCGAAAGGAATGTGTCCTACAAGAGTGTCCCACAAAAGTGTCTCCTACAGGAGTGTCAAAAATTGTTTGAATGTTTGTTTTCGAGTAGTGTTAGCATTCGGGTTCATGGGTTCCATTTTCTCTGGCACAAGACTCACATCATTTCTAGAACGACTTATAGTACTGTATCTTATAGTAGTAATAGCTCATGATTTGTTTGAGTTAATTTTCCGACTTTTCCGAACAAGCGTCACATCATTTCTGGAAAGACCTTTGTATTTTTGTTGAGCAATCATCGCATCGTTTCTGGAAAGACTTCTGGATTATATGTCTTTCGATCAAACATCCAATAATTTCCCGAAAGACTTCTTGGATACCTTCTTGGATCCTTTTGAGCACACATCACATCATTTCAGTTTTACAGGTCAAGAAACATTTTTTGTTTTTTGATCAAACATCACAGAATATCCAGTTTCAGACTTCTGGGATCTTCTGGGAACCATTTAAACAAACATCACATCATGTACGTTTTGTTTTGTTTTTCTTCAGCGTTCATTTTTAGCGTTGACAAATCTATCGAAGACCCCAAAACCTCTGAGAGATGGTACTCCCGTTTGCTCCACGAGGTGCTGGTCCGCGATTGGCTTGGCGACGCGGAGGAAGACCAGGAGCTGGAGAGACTTCAAAAGCTGCTTGAGGCGAGTTGGACGATTTCACACCGACCCAAACCTCCGGTGAAATGGATGGGATTCTGAAGGACGTGTACTGTATCCGGTTCTTTCATTTTTGCTGGGGCATTGCTAGTAGGTTGGAGGCCATCGCTAGTAGGCTGGAGTCCGTGGTCCTTTAGGGGTTGGGGAGGCTACAGATTTGGGATCCTTAGCATGTGAAGTTTGACGAAGAGTTGTGGATCCTTCACGACGCAAGCGCATCAGTTGGGTCTCCAAAACTGCAAACACTTTAGACTCTCTAGACGTCCTTCCTGTCCTTTCAGCACTGCTTGTTAGCAGTTTTGGACATGGATCAAAGTAGCAACAAACATCATGAGTTCGGGATCACATCCGTCCTATGAACAAGCTGCCAATTACTTTCACTTACTTTCTTCAATGCTGAAGGGGTAGGAAGAGTTCCACCTCAACCGCCTTTGCCAAATCCTCCTTCCTGCCAGGCTTTGTTGCAGGACAGTCAGGCCCCTCTTTGCACCCGGAGAGTCTCTCGACTTGACACGTTGGAGGTCGCTGAAGGTTTGCTTGTTCTTCTCACACGAGAACCGCCCAGTCACATCCGGAACATGTCTCCTGAGTCATCAGAAGGACGAACCATTGACGAAGTCTAGGAGAACGGAAGGTGGCGAACGGAATGCGTGAAGGAGACCGAGTCAATACACACGAGTGGGGGAAACCACCCGAACCTTTTCCTCAAAGGGCCCTGAAGAAAAGCGCCTGCAGAGTGTGCCACAGATTGTAGCCCACTCGACTCAGTCCCTTCATATTTCGTCTAGATCAGCGCTTGGCTTTCCTCCAACAACTTCTCTTTAGAATGAGCTGTAATGACCTCGAAGCACTTCTTTTTTACGTCTTCCTCTTGAAAAGAGCTCATCTTCGACCAAAAACCAGTTCTTGGAACGAAGAGTGCCCATCTCTTCGGTCGACGCCGGTGGATCGAAGGTCCGGGAGACCGTCCGATCGGCCAATAGGTACAGACATCGGCTGGTGATGGTTTTTTTGGTTCCAACCCGTGATGGGTATCGATCCTTCAAGGATTCACCCAACGTTTTGTTTCGGCCTGGAACAGGGCGACTATGCTGCCCGTCTGGTACGGAGCTTGGAGATGATCCCGAAGGGCGAAGTCCTTCTGATGGATCGGTGGGAGTAGATGTTAACGTCTGGAGCTTGTCATGTGGCCGAGGCCACTTTTGTGACTTCCCAACTTGCTCTAGCTTCAGAAAAGCAACAACAACAACAACAGCAACAACAACAAGAAGAGGGATGAACCGGCGAACACTTGGATTTCCCCTCTTTTGATGAATTCTTCGAGTCGCCTCGACCGCAAGAGAGAGAGAGGAAGAGAGAGAGGGAGAGAGAGAGAGAGAGCGCGCATACGCGCGCGAATCTAGGCGCAGATGACCAGAGGTTTTCAGAGCTGGCGCACGCGTTTGAAGGCAGGACAGTCCAGCTTTAAATCTTGTCGTCCTCCGCTCTTGCAGCAGCCTGAAATATCTTGTGCGAGTCCCATGAAAGTGAAGCTACTAGTAGCTCCTGGCCATACTAGGAGCAAGAAGCTACTAGTAGCAAGGACGCTATTAGGTGGAGGCCATCGAAAGTAGGTCGGAGGCCATCGCTACTAGGAACAAGAAGGTCTTGAAGATTCTTATGCCAGTTTGGCACCATGAGCCTGACGTGACCTTGCCAAATATGTGGAGAGACAAAAGCGACCAACGTCCTTCACATTTCGACCTAAACACACCCAAACATATAACATCAATGAACACACACACACAAACACCTTTATTGATACACATTCTTCTAATATCATCCATTGTTTAGTCATGAGGATGCTACTGTTACTGGTGAATTGTGCCAAGCTCCTCGGTTCTCACCAGGCGCTAGGGGAGCTTCTGGAGAAGACGCCACCAAGCGAGGCAGATGGCGTGGTGACTTCGCTCGGATCAGCTGACTTGGAGGAGCATTTGGTTGACCCCCCACCAAGTGAATCGACACCCAACAAATGCATTCTGCCTGACTTTGTGAGCTCCCTCCCCCAATCACCCTGTGGCTTTTCATTTGGCTGCATTAATCTCCCGCACCATAAAAATAGGGTGCTTCGTCGCGAAGCCATCGGCAACTCCCGCTCCGTCGCAACTCATATCCCACGGGATTTCTTGACCCGAGCAGAACAAGGCTGGGTCCAGCAGTTGGGGCAGTAGTTCGGGTAAGAGTAGTACTCACCAGCTGCGGGTGCCGGCATCGCAGCCCACAGTCGTTCCACCAGGCCGATGGCTTGCGGAGCATTTTTCGGGACGTTTCCAGGGAGCCACCTGGTCCAAAAGAACGCAGGACGGAGCGCCGAGGACACTGGGGCGGTGGGCAGATGTCGCCTGAAATGAAGCGTTCCTGCAGCCATTTGGTGACCCTTATAGGCTTATAGGCCATTCTGAGTTAGATGATTCTCCTCCAATCCTCCAGCCTGTTGCTATTAGGTTGGAGGCCATCGCTAATTAGTAGGTTGGAGGCCATCGCTAATTAGTAGGTTGGAGGCCATCGCTAATTAGTAGGTTGGAGGCCATCCGCTTCTAGGTTGGAGGCCATCGCTTCTAGGTGGCCACCGCTATTAGGTTCCTTTTGCTATTAGGTACCTCGATCCCGGTCACTCGGGTAGCTGTGCTCGTTCGACGACCTCAGGTGCAACGACATGAAGCGAGAGCTCTTAGGTGCTGCGCCCTGAGGTACGGGCACCGAGGTTTATGGTCAAGAAATCATCGCAGAGTCATCACATTAGTGTGTTGTTGTTGAGAAGGTGAATTGGAGAAGACGGTCAGTGATGGGTATGACGAGTTCTTTGAGCTGCTGAGTGACTCTGACCACTCAATCATGTTTCCTTGATTTTCCTTCAATTTTAGACTTTATATTCTCTTCTGGTGTCTCCGCAGGCGGTTCATTTTCATAAATGCATGAAATGAAACACCATGAACAACCATGAAAAACCTATTTGGACCTGGAGCTTTGCCGTGCTGGAAGAGCTGCCAACTTGAGGATCATGAACCAAGTATGCTAATCAGTCAGGGTGTCAGAGGAAACTTGGAACATGTGTCATGATTTGATCAACGTGGAGTCAAGGCTAATTAGTTGATGATTTCGGGTATTTTGGTGGAATGTGTTGGACCTTGCAAACGACTTTGCTCTCCTGGAAAGGCCAACCTGCAAGAGGCGTACGCCACAGTTCTTCGCCTGAGACATGGCAGAAAAGGATTGCAATTGTTGCCGAGAGCAAGATGTTGGCAGGTGCAGCAGAGGCATTCATTCGCTCTAGTGTGTGTTCATGTAGTTTCATGCTGTGTTTGTTAAGTGGGAGATCGTATTGCCCGACCTACAGAGTCCAGGCTCAACCTTTTTGAACCAACCTGGTCATGGCGCGCTCTGGAGCGACTTTGCTGTGTGTGG